GGACTCCGGCTGCCATTAAAGTAAAAGGGTTGGGACTGCAACCGTAAAAATAAAAGGTTAACGTATATTCTGCAACAAAATAAAAGGTGAGGGACTTCCTCTGCAATTTTCCCTATAAATTTCTAATTGGTTTTAAGTCACAAGTTCTATTTTTGAACAAGTTACCACTTATTTGTTATTTAACTTTTTACATGTGAATATCGAGGATTGAAGTGTGAAGGATGTACCTACGTACCCGTATCTGAATTTTTGTAGCCATGTTCACTTATTCTATATTTTAAAAAATAAAAAATCTGTTACTTAAATGCGTATTCGTACTCGAATCTGTGCATCATAGCGTGTGCTCATGGGTTTCTTTTGTGCCTTGCAGATACTCAGGGACATTCTTCCATAAATTCTAGGTCCCACAAAAGTTTACAAGCAAGTAATTGAGAAAGTAATTAACAGTACAATAGCAGAATATGTAGATTTCTGTGTTTCAAGTTTCAACCATTTACTTCTTCTGCAACCATTTCAAGGAACTCCTACAAAAGCAACCGTTTGTGTAGGTTGACTAGGATATTTATAATATTCCTCCAAGTACCATATATACCCCTCAACAAGTGTGTCAAAATGCCCATCCCAATAAATTCACTTGACATATGAAGCATAATTGTGTCAAGAGTCTTTCCCACAATTGAAATTCATTGAAGGGAAGACTTTAAAGTAAAAAAGTCACAAATTGATGGGATTTTTTCATTCTTTGTTGTCACAATGGACCTACCATGATATAATATAAAAATCAAATCGACCCCACATCATTGGTAGAGAAACCGCTTCCTGGCAAAAAAAAAAAAAAAAAGGGGAACATGACATATATAGATTCAGTGTGTAGACATCAAACTAAAAGAAATATGAAGAAATGTAGAAATCTTGTTAAAAGTCGTCATGATCTTTCATTCTAGATCTTATTCCTTTTGGTGTATATATGCATTGTAGTAGTGTGTTTTAACTTATGGATGGAACAATGGATTGAGGACAGAAACTTGACTTGCCAAGTCATTTTTAAGAATGTTTTTTGGAAGCATATATCTATCCATTTGAACTTAGGTTGGTTTAATTGCTTTGTCCATTATGGCATTAGAAAAGATTCCTAGACCAAGTCTTTTATGTAGCAATTCTCTTGTTGGGATTGTGTTTTTGTACATCAAAATTAACTCAAATCTAATTGTAAATTATGTGCAAAACATTTGATCAGTAGTCGAGCCAGCACCCGGCGAGTCATGTCAGACGTTCGTGCTAGCTCCGTCGAATTTTTTTTTTCCATGTATTGGGTGGCTGATCGAGCCGTCCTAGGTCAGATGAATTCCTGAATCCGTCACTGCATTTGACAATGGTTTTCTTTGTGAAAATTGTCGACTGTACTTGTAATATTAATTTTTTGAGCAAGTCATTAAACAATACCGTATATAAACAAGATTTTAATTTTCTTTTTTCTTTTTTAATATTACTGTGCTCGATTCTGACTACTTCATCATACGTGTATTTAATATTTATAGTTGGTAATTAAATAAATGGAAGTGTTCACAAACACTATGTTACTCTGACTATTTCAAAATCCGTTTGTTATCTTTAACCCAAGTGACATGAATTTTGAGGCATATTACCATGGACAGATTTTAAGTTTTCTTTTCTTTATTATTATTGTTTTCAATTTACATTTCCAAACATGTCATTAATAAATTTTACTACAGACATCTTTATTTGATCAAAGAGCATGTTTGTCTAAACCTAAAAGTAAATAAAGTTTATTTCCTAACATATTTTGATACGTTGCTTTTTCTTACTAATAGCAAAAAAAAAAGTAACTTTTTTTTACAATATAAAAAGAGCTAGTAAGTTTCAGTTCTGATCAATCCCAACCCGTATCCTCATTCTCCAATGGTAACACATACTAATGCTATAAAATTAAATAAGCAAATTTTAAAATAAGTAAAAATCATTTACATATAAGTAAGTAAAGAAAACTTTAAAATAAATAATTTCTGACTTATAAATAAAAAATAATAATAAGTAAAACTCACTTATAAGTAAAAATTTTACGTGAAATAGTAAAAAAAAGTTACTTATAATTCATAAGCATAATTTTAAGTAAAAAAGAATTCACTTATAAATAACAAAAACTTATAAATAGAAGAACTACAAATAACTAAAAAATTCATTTATAAGTTAAAAATCATGTATAAGCAAAATCTTATTGTTTTGGCATAAAAATGTAGAAACACCTACATTAAAAAAAAAGAAAAAAAAAGACACCATTTATTGCCATGTACTTTCATTTTAAAATCTTATTGTTTTGGCATTTATGTTTTGTAACTATGTCTTCAACTTATGAATTAATTATTGGAAGCGAATACATGTGAACTGTGTTACGTTTAAACAATTGGTACTAGGTGGGTGTTTGGTGGTGATTAAAATTAGATTTTTAGTAGATTGTGATATAAGTTTTTGAAATATGTGATTGAAAAGTTGTAGGACCCATGAAAGACGTAATTGATATTGATTGTTTGACTTTAATTTGGATTATAATCTGATTTTAATCCAAAACAAACAGGGCATATGTTTGCTTTATCCAACAACATGACATTTGAAAATATTTTTTGACCAAGTCTCTTTGGAGCAAGACTTTTCTTGGATTATGTTTTTGGACTTACGTAAATTCTGGAATCTACTTTTTGATATTATTAGAGTACATTAATGGTTAGACAATTTTGTACGTGACAATAGACAATAGATAAAGTTTTATTAACCATGTTGAGCAATGTTAATTTTATGATATCGACATGCAAAATTTTCGAGTTTAGCCAAAACTTGACACTGTAAATTCTTAACCTAGACTTAGCCCACAAAATATGTGGTTAAAAATAAAATTTAACCAACTTATAATCCCAAAAAAGCTTTGCCAAACAGGGCTTATTTATATCGTTGTCTTCTTGAAATTAAAAATGAAGTGTATCATGATTGACAAAGTCATAAATTCAGGCACCAAAACTTAAGATTGACGAAGTCATTTTCATCTTCAACTTGCACACTATAAATATCTGTGCACTCCATCACACCATTTCCACACCTCTCCACTTTGTACTAAAAATGGTTTCCTCCTCTGCAAGCAAATATCTGCTAGCAATTACATTGGCCATAATTCTTGCCGGAGTATTCCCACACTGGGTTTCCGGCCAGAATTGCGGCTGCGCACCTTCTCAATGCTGCAGCCAACACGGTTACTGCGGCACAGGCAATGGCTACTGTGGCACAGGCTGCCGCAGTGGCCGTTGCTACGCGTCTTCAGTTTCTGATATTGTTACAGACTCATTCTTCAATGCCATTGCTAGGCAAGCTCATGGAAGTTGCCCTGGGAAGAGATTCTATACTAGAGCTGCTTTTCTTCAAGCTCTCCGTTCGTATCCACAGTTCGGGACTACCGGCTCTGGCGATGATTCAAAGCGAGAGATTGCGGCTTTCTTTGCGCATGTCACGCATGAAACTGGACGTAAGTTTGGTAGAGCTTTTTCGAAATGCGACAGATAAAATGAAAGGAAAAATAATAATAATAATAATTCTTTCTTAATGTTGTCTGATATTATTTTGTTTCTCTTAGAGTACGGTGACCTGAATTGTGTTTAGCCCAACTCAAAACGCTCATGGTGCGATATGTGTGATGAAACTAAAATTATGGGAGTTTTTTGGGATTCTGTGGCGGACTAGGAATAGCATAGACCTGATTTACTTTTCTCGCATGCATATAGTAGAATAGTGATTTTTGGAGGACGTGTGGTTAAGAAATAAGAAATAAATTTCGATTTATTTGTAAAATTATTTTATTGGAGAATGTGTGGTTAAAAATAAGTTTTGAAAAATAAGTTTTTGAAAAAATGAGGGCCAAACATATATATGTATTTAGGGTTTGATACATTAATCGGAGTAGTTGGCCAAAATGCTTTTCTCTTGTACTCATCTTTAATATGGTAGATTTTTTCTTCCTATGTTCGTGGTTTTTTTCTTGTCTAGAGTTTCCAGGTAAATATGTTTGTTCTTGTTCTTAATTTTTCTATTGCCTACTCTCGTTTTTTATGTGACAGTTTCCTATGCAGATTTTTGCTATATAGAAGAGATAAACGGTCCTTCCAAAGACTACTGCGACGAGAACAACAAAGAGTATCCATGCGCACAGGGCAAGGGTTACTACGGCCGAGGTCCCATACAACTATCGTGGAACTATAACTATGGCTCAGCTGGGAAAAGCATAGGCTTCGATGGTCTGAATAATCCACAAATAGTTGCCACAAACAACGTTGTATCGTTCAAAACTGGGTTGTGGTTTTGGATGAATCACTGTCATGATATCATAACTTCCGGACAGGGTTTTGGGGCAACCATTCGTGCAGTTAATGGCAATCTTGAATGTGATGGTGCAAATCCAAGCACTGTTACTGCTCGTGTGAAGTATTATAGGGAATATTGTGATAAACTTGGTGTTGATCCTGGCAACAATATTAGGTGTTAAGAGTTGAGAAAATGATGATTTTTTAAATTGAATGATGTTTGTTGTGAGTGTCAACGTAGAAGAAGATAAAATTTATTTATGGTTTTTGAATTTTTGGGGTGTACCAAATATGTTGTTAGTGTTTATTTTTGTCTTGATGTTCGACTTTCTTTTTGTTGTTTGTTTTATACTTTTGTTGAAGTCCCTCTTGACTAAGTTTTTTATGAGACTAGTTTTAGGCCGTGCAATGCACTGCTTTTATTATTTTTAAGATTATGTTAGCATTACATATTATATATTCAATGAAATTAG